CCACTCTCAGAGAGAGTGAATAGAAAAGGATCTAGTGCCTGTTTTCTGAGCTGGGGAGTGTGTCACTTTTGCTTAAAGGAACCAGGAAATAGAAATATTTGTATACATTTTACTAAAAACCTGTAATGAACTGGTCAAAAGATACACTCAATATTTGAGTTGGAGGAACACCGATTTAATTCTTTTCATGTGAGACTCTGGAAACAAAGTGCAAGAAGAACAGAAAATGCACAGGCAGCATTTATGATGCACCGAAAGAAAGTAATACAATATATTTATGACCATAGTGTCCAGAGTCCCAAAAGTAGCCGGGTTAAAAGTTGAGGTTCAAGAGGGTAGGGAACAAAGTTTCTTTCCATAAACTTGGCATTAGGTCCTTTGGTAGCCAGGATATTACAAAACCCTTGAAATTGCATATTTGGTTTCAATTACCTTATTTGAAATATTTGCTTTTCAATTTTAACCCATATTTTGATGCTTCATTGGTTTTTATGCCAGTACTTATTTGCATATTCATGAGCAGAACTATGATGTCATCCAAGGCGTTGAATCTCAATGTTGCACTGAACCATGTCATCCCTGATTTACATCAAAGCAAAAGCGCCCTCGCCCAGAAATGCTTGGTCAATTTTTAATGTTTGAAAAAGTGCACCGTTCAGTTCACGTAACTCAAAAAAGATGTCAAACAGTCTTCATACATGCAAAAAGAGTACAGAGATACACAAGAAGTGATTCTAAGAAAAATCCATTTCCTGGATCCTTTAAAACAGACTGCACAAATTGTGCCTGCTAGGGTTAGGGGAACACAGAGTTAGCTGTGTGTGGAAACATACGACCATGTATGAGGGAATCACACAACCGTCTCTTGTACTGTATTTCACCATGAATATTGGATATCAAGACTTGTGACACCGATGGAATATTTTCATAAACTTTTATTATACGTGACCTTTTTAGAGTTAATACTTAGTTATTTTGTTTCATTTCATTTTATTTTAATGTCTTTGCTGTTCCAGCGGGCCAAAAGAGAATCACCACCAGTCCTGCCCATCGAGGATGTGGTAAGAAATGTGTTAAGAATTGGTGTGTGATATACATGTCCATTGTGTGACTTTTTTGTGGGTTTACTTTCTAGGTGCTTATGAGACTGAATTGCCTTATTTTATTTTCTCCTCCACATCAGTCGGATTCGAGAGGAATTCTGCAATCAGAGAGTTCTATTCGTGGAAAAAAATATAAAAAAGCAGAAATCCGAATTCCTAGAAATTTGTGAGAGATGACTTATTCCTATGTGAGAGCAATGTGCCGCGTTATCTGTAGAAGTAATCATGAGCCAAATGAGTGCCAGCTCTTTAAGTTTGAATTGTTCTGCCAAGGTTTGGGGGTCGGTATTGTAAATGAATTCAGGAGGTTTTTTTTTTTCACTTTTCATGTAAAGCCCCTAAAGATTCGAGAAATGCAAGTGTCATCATCGGTGACAGCCCGCTTTACAAAGACGGTTGTGGAGTGCACTGTAGCCAATGATGCCCATCAGAGTCAGGAAGTCAACTTTTACATGGAACTCCCCAAAGAGGCCTTCATATCTGGATTTCTGATGTAAGTGGAATATCTTGCAGGACTTCCTTAATAGTGAAACATAAAAACGCTTGCTGATGATAGTGTTGAAGGCAGTGGGGTCATGCAGTTGTGCTGTTCAGAGTCACTGTAAATGCGGAGTTGATAGTGTTAATTGGCATCGTACTGACAGTAGTTATGACAACTAAGGGTGCTTTCTTGGGCATTGGCATCTTTGTCAGTGTATTTTTAATGGCATTGGTACACTTTTTATGGT